ACTTATCTCCCAAGGTCGCTTGGGGTCATGGGTGTCCATAACCTCCAGTTTTAGCATTTCTGCCACCGAGCAATGGTTTTGTACCATTTGCTTGATCTCACCCTGAGCTACATCCTCTGAGACATCTAAATCAACTATGTGAGAGGCCTCCAGGGTGACAAAATCCTGCAGAGGATCAGAAGATATTCCAGGAGTCCGCTCATTAGTAAATAAATAGATAAATAAATAAATAGTATATTCTCGGTAAAACGAGACACACCTGTAAAGGCGTGATCAAATATGCATACAAGCATAGCTTCTGTGGAATGTTAAAACATTTCGTCTTAATGAAAGGTATAAAAGATAAGATCTTGTCCGTATGAGTGAGCATACTGTCAGGTGATAGTCAGACCCAGGAACATTATAGCGCTGTGGCGCGCAAAAATCCGTCAAAACACAAGTTGGGGGTAATTTCGCCAGGTAGTGCTCCTTGTGCACAGGGGCCTAAACAAGGGTTTGTTGCAACCAATAACCATTACGAGATAGGAATAATTTCTGCTCCAACAAAGCATTATTCATAGCAGAATTAGTTGCACAGGTTGGATGTAGAAGGCTGAGTACTGCGTCAGTGTGAAATGCTTAGCTGTGACTTTAATTTGTGGCGAGTCACATCCGCCACGTTGCAGTGTTGTTAAGCGGACATTTGTGGCATTTTATAGGGAGAACGCTTGCCAGGCGAAAACCCACCACTTCCTGGAACACTGCCGTAGCTTTCGCTGAACAGTAGTGCAAGTAGGTTATGCATCGTATAGACCGATTTTGCGTTCTATTATTCGCAGTCGGTTGACAGCCAAAATTCTTCGTTGATTGGCCGAATGGCTTAGTACTGATACGGCAGCAGTCCTTGAAGCCGGTCAGTGATGCAAGATTCGAAGAGTCGAATGATAATGATGCAGGTGAGTAAACACATTGTTAATAGAGGCCGGCTCTTCTATTATATTCTTGCTCGGCTCGCAAACCGTGTCCAGCTATCCACCCTGGACTTGTCATGGGGTCGGTGAGTGAAGTTGTTTCTTGTGGCTGAATATGTCCTTAATAGGTAAAAACGCCATTCTCTGCAAATTGGATTTGGGATTCCTGCAGATGTAAGTAAGTGTAACTGTTTCCATAGCCAAGTAAAAATTCCATGGAAGGCCATCAGAATAGCCACGTATAGGTGCGCAACGCTGTCCGTGAAATGACATCAGAATAGCTCCAGGTGACTGGCGAATAGGAATGTTTGGGGCAGTGAAGGTAATCACGCCAGAGTTATTTGTCTTCGGTTGTGGAACGGGGGATCCATGTACATATATTATTCCAGGTGAGTAAACTGTTCTCTGAGTACGAGGCGAGCTAAACCCATTTGTTTAGACCCCGTGAAGGTAGCGCCTCCGGAATGGCGGAATGAGCTCCATTTGGACCAGTGTGTGGGTTTTTCATTTCCTGGAGAAAGGTCCAATGCTTGGATGCAAAAGCTTTTCGTAACGGCGTTGCATGGCTGTCTTTGCGTTCACCAATTTTAACTGGACAAAGTTCGTGCGCGACCGGAAATCTTTTTGGTATGACAGGAATTTACGGGCCGAACGCTCTGTAGCAAACCTTAATAGCACGGGACATTGGTTTTTAATAGCCCTTTTCCTCAGTCTGGTGCAACTGATTAAATTACCTTCTAGACCGCAGATATCCATCAGTACCTTCTTGATGGTGTGAACTTTTAAACGGTCAGGTACATTATAAACCACTACCTCCGTGAGGCATTTTATCCCGTCCATGACTTCAGTACTAAT